TTTCCACCTTTCCTAGCATAAAAGCAGCTTGCAATGAACCCTGAGTTAAGCTGGTGCTTTAGGACATCAGTCCATCATCTTCTGGGTCTGTGTATTTCTGAATAAAGCTGTTTTCCTTGCCCCAACACCTTGTCTCTTGACTTACTGACATGTTGTGTGGTGACTGGCATGAGCTTGGACTGCATAACAAACGTATCCCAAAAAAGGCCAATACAGTATATCTCTGGTAGCACAACTGCTTTCCTTTGGGAACTTCCTCCCTTCTTCCTTCCCTCCACAGGATTATGGGAAACTGTCAATCACAGGCTCTCCACCCCCTGCCTGCAAATGCAAGGCCACTCCCCAGACCAGGTGGGCCAGTCATAGTACTCACTTCCCTGGCATGGTTTTGGTTCAGAGTGGCACTGGGCCCTAACAGAACCAACCAGAGTCTTCTCTGGGATTGGTATATGAATTTTCACAGAGATAAAGTCTCATTCTCTGAAGTTGCCAAGCTGGCATGCTGAGACCTGGAGCATAAAAGAGAATAGAGCAAAGAAGAACACTTTTGCCATAGGAGAAAATGTGGTCAATGGCCCCACCATAGTGCTAACGATCAGGCATGACCTCCTGGGCCCAGCACTGCTGAACTACCTTCTTAGGCCTATGAATGAAAATTAGTTGAGTTAATTTGCGTTTCTGTCACTTATAGTCAAAAGAAGCCTAAATAATAGAGTATGAATGCTATTTTGGCATATATTTTAAAAATATGCTGCATGTAAGCAACGATGTTTCTGTTAAAAAAAAAAGAAGGCATGAGGTTACACTTGAGGAGTGGACATTTTCCTTAGGGGCAGGGGTAAGATGTAACAAAGGCCAGAACTTACCTCCTCACCTACACAGTGAGCTCCTAAGAGTGAGGACTGGGTGTCCTAATTCTCCATCCTCACCCCGCATGTACACCTGGCCCACTGACTGACGTGCATTTAAGAAGTAACTGCTGAATGGCTAAGCAGATGGCGCCTGCTGTTAGCTACATCTTTTATGGACTAGTCTTGTGCACTCTGTATTTTCTCATTTTCTTTCCCTAATGTACAATATCACTGACCTTTGGGAAACATCCTAAATTATTCACTAAAACAGATCCTGCAAACCCAGAATTATTCATTATAATAAAATATCCCTTCATCTACAGTATTGAGGGAATATCTCATAAAAACTATCTGAAAATTCCTAAACTAATTTAAAATCTTAAAGCATTTTAACATTCCATATTTAAGCCTAGAGCTTAAACTCACTAAAATGTAAAAACTTAAAATACTCAAACAGAACATGGTTGAATTTTTTTTTGTCTGAAACATTACTTTCCTTATGTAAAATGCACCTTGGCTAACACAACACTATACTTTCTTTGACAAAACAAATGAGAAATGTAGAGCAAACAGGGAATAACTAGTATTTGGAGAGAAGCAGCTGGGAAAGTTTTGATTAAGCTGTATCTGCTTCCAAATAGAAATTCTGGTTAAAGGATCTGTCACAGATATGCTGACTTCCAATATGTTAAGCTAAACAGAATTTCAACGCTCTTTACTGCAGCAGCAAATAAAAAAAATATTCACAAGATACATATAAGATTTTAGCTCTTACTACTTTCATCTAGAATTGTATTGATCTGAGGACTTAAAGGATTTGGCATTTTTTTTTCTATAGAAATTTCTGTCCTCCTATTTTCAGATTCTGGCTTTGGTAACCACTTTCAGAGCATGAAAATATCTTCTTAGTTCCTACTTGGTCCTTGAAAAACAACTAAGCTTTGGGTGGAGAGAGCATTGAAGTTCAGCCTTGTGTCATGGGCACTGGCAGCCTCAAATGAATGAGAATGGGCTTAATAATGTTGGGAGTCTATTACTGGCTGCATTGACTTCTTCTGGTTCCAGATATAGTCTTTGGGCCAAATGAGGTTTAATAGACAGAATCACTCACTAAATGGTCATCCTGGACACAGATTTTCAATATCCATGGCCAGAATGGCTGGGTAAACTACTGGGCAAGATACCTGAAGGGAGGGGTTGACAACAGGGCTTGGATTTCTCTAGGCAATGATTAGGAACAATTTACATGGTGGTCTACATTGACAACTATACATTTGGGCTTTTTTCCTCAGAAGCTGCTCTTCTAAAAAATGTGTTCTAGTGGCCTGATATTTTCACCTCTACCTGCTGTGCTCTGTGGAGGTTCTATGTAATTCTTGGCACCTCCACAAAAATTCAGGAATGTCTTGAACTTCCCCAAAGAGCAATTTGAATCATTGCTTTGCTGAGACAAATATGATAACTGTTTCTCCAGAGATTACGAAATCATAGCATGTTACTGTTAAAAGGGATATTAAAAATCATCTAATTCAGTCCTTTTACTATATTTATTAGTCATGAAATCAAGACACTTAGAGAAGTGAAGTGACTTTCATGGCTGAATTATAGTCTATGTAACGATGACATGGTTACTAAATTGGGGGTATGGGGTACCCCAGGCAGTAAGATGATAATCTAGGGAGCAGGAAATATTTGGGACTTTTCTTTACGTTTATTTATCTCATCTGACATATAGAAAGACTATTTATGAATGTCCAGTAAGAGCGACTACTTATGAATTTTAAGACCATCACATAATGACTTTTATAAATTAATTTGGTAATATATCTATTTAAAATCAAACTCCTAGCCTTTCTTATCCTCATCTTTTGGTTTTCTCCCCCCAAAGTAGTGATTACCATGCTGTATATCATATCTTTTACTTATTTACTTTGTTTACAGTCTGTCTCCCTCCTGCTGGAATGCAAACTCCATGAGGATAAGAAATCACTGGCCCTACCTGGGGAGCCATGCGAACTGTCAATCAAGCCACCGTGAACGAAGCAGCTATTGTCTCTTGTCTTCTCCTTGTCTGTGACTTATTGTAGAAGTTTATTTGCTTTGTCTCCTAAAATCACTATCAAATTAGGTATGTGATTCTAGGGGAATTGTGTCTCTTCTCTATGCCTCAGTTTCATAACCAAGTTGGACTTGGGTTGGAAGAGATAATCTTTATGGTCCCTTCCAGGTGTATCATTATTTGTTTTCTGTTGTATCTCTACGTCCTGGAACAGGGAAGGCACCCAATACATATTTTTAAACAAATATATTAGTACATTAGTTCTTGTGCATAATATGCAAATAAATACACATACATCAGCTGTGGATGCTCAGGAACTCTTTACTGGTCAGGGTATATTATTAGTAAAGCTTGGAGCCCTATGAGTTAGGCAATTTTTTATCTCAAGTTTGTCAGGTAACTGGTTAAAACAAGGACTAAATAGGGTACCAGTTAAGGAGGGTACCTGAAGCAAAGTCACTTCTCTGCAGCTGAGATTTAACTCAACTGGAAGAGGCTTTTTATTCTGGAGATTTGCTTGAATAGCATATTTTAGTCTTATCAAAGTGGAAAGAGTAGGCAGCACTGTCTTGGGGTTAGAGGAGAACAGGAACTATAGTGACCGAATTCAGGGCTTCCACTACCTTGGACAATTGGCTCTAAAAAAAAAAAGATGAATTCCATTGGGGACAGAAGAGATGCATTTCTGCCTCTGAGATTCGATTTTAAGAAGAGATGGCGAGACAGTCACAAATTACCCCCCAAAAAGCCTAGTGTCAGGAAAGAGCAATGACATCTTTCAAATGAAAGTCCCTGAAGAATAGCAGACTCTCTGCAACTTTCTGGATCCAGAAGTCTGTGGGGAGCAGGGCGGAGGTTGCTAGTTACACCACGCTTTGTATGTACTTCAGGGCAGCTGCTGTGCAGGACCTTGCCACACTAGCTTTGTGTTGTGATGCTGCACTTTGGAGAGCTATGGCTGAGCAGCATGTATGACCTCAAACCTGTGCCAGGTAGGTTTCTGGACCCGACATTCTCCACAGCCAGGAGGCACCCACAGGACTGAGCAAGACTCCACTTAGAAAGCAACGCCGTACGGCAGGGAGAGACAACAGCCACAGTGAGCTCACCCAAACCCAGTCTTTCTGTGCCTGGCAGTAGGAAAGGACACACTTTCTCTGTCATGGTAAGTCCTAAGATACTTAGACAACTTGAGGTTGGATGGAGGAATGTGGTGTGAGGTGTGGAGGGACTACTCAAGCAGTTGACTGGAAAAAAGGAAAGACTTGACAATAGCTGCACTCTGAGTGTTTTTAGGGATTTTCTATAGTTACATAGTCTTTGTTTTCACCTATGAAATTCAGAATCACATTAGAGGTGATTTCCCATTGTCAGTGTCTCAGAAGCCATTAGATACTTCGGGGAAGGCAAGTGAGTGGACAAAGTCTGAGTCCTGCACTGAGGAAGTGGGACAGTAAAATGCATTTCCCGCTCTGACAGCACACTTATTTGCCTTGCTAGGGTGCTTGCATTTTCTGACTACCGTCTCTGTTGCTTTGGACAGGACTTCGGGGTCAGATTTGTTAACTATCCTGTTCTCTAATATAACTAACCACCAATGTACTTTTTATAGATAAAACAGAACCAAAACAGATTACATAAAGGGTCATCCATCTCAAAAGAACCATGCTAGATGACATGTATTGATAATACATTGCCTGAAAGCATTCAATCTTTTTCTACTAAGTGATATCTAGTCTGAATTAATTTGTTCTTTACAGTGATACATTAAACTGCCCTAAAAGGTAAACATTACTCTTTGGTTTTTTTGTTACTTGAAAGTCCAGACTCCTGCATAAGCACAATGTGTGTGGAAGTCTCACATGTAAGATGTGCAACCGGTATACTCTTGTAGCAAAGCCCTTCCACCTCTGTGACACCAAACATAGCTCAGAGTGAAAGGTTACTTAGCATCTCAAACTTAGCCAAAGACCCTGAACAACTCTTAGGTAGATAATGCTAATCTGAGCACGGGCTAAAGGTGTATTTCCCCCTCAGTGCTAACATGTTTATACTCACAAAATAGCAGTTTCAATATTGGTGGCACTTACATCTTGGTTAGACATTTCCCAATAAGGTCTCTCTCCATAGGACATGACCTCCCACATGACAATGCCATAGCTCCATGCATCACTTGCCGGAGAGAATTTCCTGTAGGCAATAGCTTCTGGGGCTGTCCATCGTATGGGGATTTTCCCACCCTGCAAAACAAATTGGAGATTTCTCAGCTGGCTCACAGTGTACTAAAATCTGAAGTGGCATTCCAATTAAACTGTTTTTGTTGGAAAGATCTAAATATTTCTTGATAGTGTTGGCATTTCACATATGAACAAAAGGAAAACCAGAGAGTTAAGATGTCAAATATTTTTCCTACAGTAGCTATTCAGTGAAAACCACTTTAATGGGAAATAAATCCCACTTCAGAAATATTTTATTTCATTCATTAGAGAAATTTATTTTCACTTTAGATTAACACAATTAAACTCACCATATGAAGAAAATTCCAGATTATAGGACATTAAAACTAAAAATCATCCAACATTCATTAACCATCGTTTTGCATGTATAACTAATAATGATAATAAGTTCTAACTTAAGTGGAGACAAATGGTTAAATACAGAACTGAAACATCTCTACCAACTCAATGCTTGTCAGAACTTCATTTCCTTTCCCTTTTTGCCTTTTCATCTATATTACATTTACTTAAAAAACAAACCCTTGAACATTATACAAGATTATACGAAGGATAATCTTTCTTTAGAGTACTTTAGGCTGGTTTATATTTTTGTTCTTCAGCATTCAAGTTAAACATTTGAACATATTGAAGAGATTAAATTGCAGAAATTTAATCTGTACTGTTCAGGTATTAAAGTCGGATATTGTGTTATATTTCCTTTTTATCAACATTATTACATTTTATCTATTGAAATACTCTGTAAATTCCATTTTTACTGTAATGACAAGACTTAAAACAATTCAACCTGAAACCGTTGCAGCTCTGAACAGAGAATTGAGAGCCACCCTGCTGCCGCTAGATGGCGGGAGAGAACAATGAGCCGCTCCCAGTCAGGTCTCAGGCACCGCGGAGATGGCTTCTGATCGCAGCAAATGATGCTCTCTGTTCCACAGTCAGAACCCACTGCAGTGGAATTGTTTCATCACGATCAGCACTTTCATGATCACAACATCTGATCACCCACTGCGTTCAAAGTCTGGCGTTAGGGTGAGTGGGAGTGGAAGGAAATAAAAGGTTCATTCTTTGTCCCTTGAAATTTAGGTTTAACATCTTTAAAGGTGAATCCATTAATTGAGTAATCCAAACACTAGTTATTTAGTAATCTAAACACTATTTACTTGAAAAAAGATTCATTCGAAATAGGCATCATTAGCTTTATGAACGCAAATGAGATTATTAACAGAACCCTCACTGTAAAGTCTTGTAGCAAGGAATGGTTAGAAGGAACCTTGGGAAAAGTACCTTGAATTCAACCCTCAGTTTTTACAGGTGAGCTGATTGAGCCCAGGGTTTAGAGATTTCGATGTTCCTTCCCACATTATTAAGTACATAATGTCTACTAATGTTATCATAATTATGTTATGGGTCCCTGATAAAAAGGTATAAATACTTCAGCATGGGGAAAAGTTGGGCCAAACTAACTTTAATGTCTTAACATTAAATATCTATGATCATATATCATAGTATGAAGGGAGCCTGAAACCTGGGTTTTTCATGCTTTGTAGCAGCACCAAAATAAGAGCAGGAAATTAAATTCACAAAGTTGGCAATAGCAGTTTAAGAGTTGAGCCAGAGAAAGGAGTGGAAAGAGGGGGATTCATTCCAGTGTGGTCTCTTACTTCATGGGGGCACAGGAGGCTCCACCTTGTGTCTGTGCACCAGTCCGACAGCAGCCTTTGCTTTACGGCATGTTTGTGACTTAAGTGCTTCAGCCTTGTGGCTCTGCATTTTGAAGTCACATGACTCAAGCTCAAGCTTGTTTCAACTGCGAAAGCCACAGTTCCAGAGAATAAAGGTCACTCTGTAGATCTGACCTCAGAACAGATGCAAGAGCAGCAGTCACACCTGGCATTTCAGATTCTGGATCTTGGTCTCCTCTGGTAAACAATTTGTGGAAGTGTGCATTTCTAGTCTGCTGGGCTGTTCCTTTGCTAAATCTTTGAGTTTCATTAAGACAGGCTAAAAAACGGAGTTAAGTGTTATTTTATGTACATTTGCTTATAAATGACATCTCATATAAATGATTCACACATAACTTTATATTTCAGATAACTTGATATTGCATATAAATGATAACTTCATCACTTTCCTTCCTAAGATTTTATTTTCTTCCGTAAGATAGTTCAGAATGTTTGATTAATAGTATCACTACCTGTTATGGTATGAATTGCATTCCCTCAAAAGTTACATGTTAAAGGCCTAATCCCCAATGTGACCACATTTGAAGTCAGGGCTTTAATGAGGTAATTGATGTTAAATGAGGTCATAAGGGTGGACCCTGTCCAGTATGAGCAGTGTCCTTATAAGAAGGCAGACAGATGCCACAGGGGTGCAAGCATAGGAAAAGGCCCCATGAGGATGTAGCAACAGGATGGTCGTCCGCAGGCTGAGGGAGAGGACTCAGGAGAAGCCAAAGCCAAACATGCAGACTGGATTTTTGAGGTCCAGGGTCCAGGACTGCAAAACATAGATTTTTATTATTTGAGCCACCCAGTCTGCAGTATTTTGTTATGACAGCCTTAGCAGACTAATAAACTGCCCCTATAACAAAAATATTTTTTCCTAAGATGAGCACCATTGCAAAATGGACAGTACATCTTTATTTCAAATTTTATTCCAAGTGTCGTCTTGAAATGAGAAGTGTGAGCTAGAATAAATCTTCAAGTATGAAAAACTGGGACAGTAGTTTTAATGTAGAAGATAATTCTAATTAACTAAATGCATGGTAACATGAGCCTGACAGAGTACAAAAGGTGGAATAATTCTGAGTATAAATGGGATGGAGATAAGGAAGCATTCAAATTATTTTTTCTACTGGGAGGATACATACTAGATATAGTTTTATTCTAAGTGCAAGAAGAGACAGAAAGGGGAGGTCCCTGAAGATTACCATATGGTTTCTACCCTACTTTAGAGGATACACAGAAATCTCATTCTTTTTTTCTTTTCCTTTTTTTTAAAATTGAATGCACCAACAGAATTTTGTGGCTTAATCTCATCTACTCATTTTTGCCCATGATCTTGCATCATAGATGAGGTAATGCACTAAGGTATTTTTTCTCAAAGCATTAACCATCAGATGCTTGTTTCAGGTTTCAGGAATGAATAAATAGTACTTTAGATTTGAAATAACAATCATTGGAACATTACATGTTGTTGCTTTACCATATGTTTATGAGAAAAAAAGTTACCAAAGATGCTAATTAAATGACTGAGTATAACTGAGACCCCTCATTTACTAGTACCTCCTTTATGCAGCAAGCTCAATCACTTAGGGAATAAAGGAGAACCAGGAGCAAGCAAACCACATTGCTACTGAGAAGGTTGTTAGCAAAACCTTTTTTCTGTTTTTCAAGTCATAGAGTCAGAGCTTGTTGTCTAATAAATGGGTAGTGGGTTTGTAGCAGAAAAAGTGCTGAAGAGGCAACCAGAAGCCCTGTACACCATAAACCCTATGGCCCCTGAGTGGAGTTTTAGTATAGTTGTATTTAACTAACATCTGAGTTTTAGAACCTAATCCTCTAATCTTCAGCAGAGGGTACAATCAATTGAGCATAGTAAGGTTATAGAAGCTTAATACTGAAACCAAATAGAAAACTACCGTTGAGAAACAAGAACACTTCTCTCTCCATTTCTCATTTACTGGATTTGATGGTTTTCTTAAAGGCAAACGGTTTGAATAAGACAACAATCTGTTTGCAGACTTATTTCCTCAATGCATCTCTGTAGTATCCAAATTTCAATGAGTCTGAGAGTTACCATGCAGAAAACATATATACTATGATTAAAGATTAAGGAATTCCTAAAGGCAATTTTGACTCAATTATTTTTCTTTATTAGCTGCAGATTCAAACTCTAGAGAGATGCAACTCTACTCTAATCCATTGTGTGACCTTGGGCAAGTCCTAATTCTGAGTCTTAAATTTCAGATCTGTACAATGAGGGGATTTAAATTAATGACCACAAAATGATAAACTATAATGGGTTTTAATATTTGCTTATAGTTTTTCATCTCCCATTAAATTGTCAGGAGAGGGGCCATGTGAGTTGGTTCCAAGATCAGGTGAACAGACAGTCTGAGGACAGATGGTAAAGGAGATAAGCACACTCGTGTTTTACGTCCATGACAATAACTAATGGTCATAGTGATCATCCTGTGTGGGTAAGGAAGAGTTAAATAACTTAATCATTTTTTGCCTAAGGAAGTAATGGCATGAATAATACATCTTAGAAAAGTATGGAATCAGGACATTGACTTTTACTCCTCTTCTGATTTTTGACTTTGATGATTTAAAATACTCTCAATGGGTAACCACTGGGTATTTAGAAAACTCATTATATGGAGACTTACTGATATCAGATTGAAGAGTGATTAGTGTATGTCCTGAAAGAGTACATTAGAATTTCTTGTCAGTGGGATTATCTGTGGCAGAGGTGGTTTGGTTTTGGAAGCACTGGTGGAGGAGGAAGCAGCATTCTGGAGCTTCCGCCTTAATCACTATGGTGTCCTGAGAGGTCGCAGCAAAGCACAGAAAGATCTCCCACACAAGGGTTATACAGACGTCCCTCACTAGGGGGATAATTCTTCTTTCTCCTGGGAATACTGATCTTAAGAAGTAAGTACATATATGAGCATCTCTTTCTAGTTTGATTCCCAGACCAACAATTACATTATTACAGTTCTCAGCTATGTTACAGCATGTAAGCCTTTTAAGACTCTCAGAGACATGTGCTTCCCTCCTTCACTGAGGCAACTTCACCTAGGCAACTTCAATGCTGCGTGGACTTTTATCCTTTTATGAAATATGGGGATAATATCTGTCCTTCCTTGAAGAAAAACTGAGGACTATGATGAAATCAATTCTTTTGCAGTCACAAAAGAGATAGCTTATCATATTTTAGCTTCTAGGTCACATTTACCACATGGATTACATGAGAGAGTACACATGAAGCACTCTTAGCTG